TTTTTTTTTTTTTGGGACATTTAGGCCAATTAAGGCAAACTCACACACACAACGCATACACATAGACTCGAACCTTGGACCTCTTGGTTGGAAGCTTAAGCTCTCAACCAACAGGCCAAGGAGAGTTGTGTGTCTATTGACTTTCATAGTCAACATCGGACAAAGCTAGCTATCACTATTCTATAGAGGATTGTCGTCGTCATCACAAAAATTATTTATTCAATATTTAATAAACATAAAAATATTTTTAAGATATCAAATAAATTTATTTTAAATTAAAAATAAAAACAAAAAAGAAATTAAATTGATCTCAATCCACTCCTAAATATCTTCTAAATTTGAATATGTCCTATAATTTCAAATATTAAATCTTCTTATAAACAGGATCATAATATTTTAACATTATTTTTATTCATTTAAATTTAAATAATACTCATTATTTTACCTGTATTGCCAACAACGGTTGTGCATCGGAAGACTTAGGCAGCGAAGGAACCAACAAGAGAAGCTTCCCAAAAGGACGCCGGTGATAGCCTGAGATATCGTTGAAATCCATATTTTCAAACTCGCCGACAGTTAGAGAAACAGAGTCACCGTCGGAGTTACAGATTTCAAAACGATCGTCATAAGCGGAGGATCGGCGAATAGTTCCGGCGAGAGGGTAAAAGTTGTTCAATGTAAGGGCGAGAGAGGATTTGAGATTGGGAAGGTGAGAGTCGAGGAAGACGGCGGATGAATGAGGAAAACGGTAGAAGAAGAGGCGGTCGACGGGATTGAGATCCAGCCAAGGTATGTCGAAAAAGGTGAGGGGGAGCGCCGGCCGTGGTCCGGTCGGTGGCGGCGGAGAAACCCAGTGTTGTTCGAGCACTCTTAAGGCCGCCATTGTTGGACGACGAAGAGCTGATCCGGCTCTCCGAGGATCGCTCCGATCCGATCCGGCTCTCCGAAGACTTGACAGTGGGAGAAGTCTGCGGCTCGGAATCCGGGAGATAAAAAAGGACTGCTCGGATTGGCTTTAAAAGCATACGACATGGAAAGGGAACCAGCGGAGAGTCTCCCACTGTTTATTTTCACACCCTAGATCTTCTTAAAATTTTCGGGAATGCCACAATAGATTTTCGGTTCTAGTAGGTAAAAACGGTGGCTGGTATACTATTTGGTAATACGACTTCTGTAAAATATATTTATTTACAACTGCGTATTTCTGCATATTTGAAAAGGCGGAAGAATACTGCTTCTTCCGTCTACTAACTCCGTGTACACATGCAAAAGTCTATTTTACCCCCACCACGTTCCCACATCCCGGGCAATCTGTACTCGTCCAACTCCATTTCTCTTTCACGATTTTCAGTTCCCTCCACCATTTCCACACGATCCCACGCGCCGACCACCCTGATCATTCCAGTCCCTCGCTGGCCGTTCTCTCCCCCATACGAGAAACCTTACAGTATCTATGTTCTTCTTAAGTACAGATCGGTTCCTGGCAGCCACGACCCGAACTTTGCCTACCCACGTAACGCGAATTAATCCCGCTAGCACTCGCAATCCCACGCGACATCCATCACAGTCGATTCCAACCCATCGCCGGCTGTTCACTCCCGCTCATCTCCCTCTCGCCAAAATCTACAACTTTTCCATATTCTTCTCGCCAAAACCATCAACCCATCACTTCAAGGTAACTTTTCGCTTTCTCCATACACTCTTCTTCGGCAGTGGTTTAAGGAAAGCGTTTTGCATTCATTGTTCTTCTTATGTTTTTTAACTGGTTCCGTATTCAATGATTTTTTTTTTTTTTCATTTCTTAATTTAGTATCTATGTTTGTGTTCATTCAATCGGTTAATTTAGTTACTTTAGTATCTATGTTTTGGTCCATTTCAGTAGTTTGAATTGGATCACTATCAAATGCCTATGTGAAAGTTTGAATTGGATTAGTTGAAGAATGATTGAAAGTTGTGGAAAGATTTGTTGCGTGGGGAGATTGGATTAGAGTGGAATCCAATAAAGCGAACCATAGAAGCTTCTAATGAATGGTGGAATGATAAACTACAGATAATGCTGATTAATTTTTTTTTTACTTCATAAGTGAAAAATCCTATGAGTTATGGAGGCGTTCCTTATTACAGAAGATTATTCTGATTTTCTTAAATTAAAACCATTTAAATAATTAATTAATGCACAGATTTATTTCATGCTTCAAATACAAAATTTGAAATAAAAAGGAAAAACTATATATACCACATAATCAACAGCACAAATAAGTTACCATAATTGAGGTTAAGTTTGAATGATTTCATTTTATTTGAACCAAAGAAACCCTCAAATTATGATAAGCAATCATTGTTTTTTATGATATTAACAGTTGGTACAGTGGCATACTGCTGGAGGATAGTGGAGTCTACGAAGAATCAGATAGAATAATAGTGAGCACATGAGATTTGCAGATTCCTGCACTACATCAAGGTAAGTATTATTATAATTGCTTTCAATTTCCATATGATGCATATTTTGTAGTTTTGCTCACTATCTGCTTAAACAGGACAAAAACTTATGTATGAATGAATCTCGAAAGAGAGAGAAGAGGTAGATGAATCACGCCAGCAAGGCTGAATCATGGCTGCAAATTCAAAGTAAAATCTCATAGTAGAGGTCGAGCTTTAGTTTTGCACACAGAATTTAAGTAGGTTGAGATCCGATTTCGACAGATTGTTGGCACCTGGATGCAGGCCATATGGCCATCATTGGTTGAAGTATGAGGAGCTCGAACTATCCCAGTGCTACGGAAGAAGAAAGATTCGGTGTTGGCGCATAGGAACTTTGGTCCATTCGAGTCTTCGGAAGTTGAGGACATTTAAGAAGCTATGAAGGTCTAGGTCGTCTCCGATATAATTACTGATTATTAGAGGGCAATTATGTATTTTGTCGAGTTTTGCGTTTCCATGCGCAATAAAAAAATGATGTAACCAAACACGTTATAGTTTGCTTAATTAATTTTTGTGAGAACTCTGATTACTGAATAACTGCTCCCCTACTGTCTTATGCAAAAAGAATGTCACCCCCAAACGGGGCCTAATTAGAGCACTTCCTCCTTTTTTTTTCTCTTTGAAAATATCTTTAAAAAAAAAAAAAAACTCTATATAATGCATAAAAATAAAAGTTTAATTATATAATTTGGAGTGCGGAGCTTAAACTTGAAGAAAAAATATTCAATTCTGCTTCTATAATATTCTCAAAATAATTCTGAACTTTTTTAATTTTGATCATAATTTCACATACTTTTTTTTTTTTAAAGTTGAGATAGCATAAGGCCTTTGCTTTGTTATGCGAAGTGAGATATTGATTCTATAAAGAATCTTTTTGGGGTTGTTTGGTTGTAATTATTTAAAATTCAGGGTAATTTAATATTCAGAGAAAGAGAAAATATATTATATTTATAATTGAGAAGATTATTTTCTAGTGTTTAGTTGAAATAAAAGAATTTAATTTAAAATGTTAAAAATAATTAAGGAAAATCAACTAGCGCTTGAGAGACAGTGTCTGGAGTAGTGATCGATATATTGGAGGGAGTGGTAGTGTTGCAAAAGAGCGTGAGGCGACGTAGTCTTTATGGGAGAAAAATAGGTCTTTATGGGAGCGTGCCTAAATTTGGCATGATCACGCTGTATATATATATTTTTAGGGTGTGTATTCAAAACAAAAAGTCTCTAATACTGCAATGGCCAATTTAGTGATGCTTGGTCTAGGCTCCAAAACCAAGAAGGGCAATAAGTTGGGATTCAAATTGGGACCTAATAAAGGGCCGGGGAATATATAGGGCATGAGTAGTTTCAATAAAAGAACAATAATTTTGATAAAAGTGGGTCACAAGTTAGCAAATTTTAGACTATAAAAAAAGAATAAGATTAAAAAGGCAACATGGTGGACACAATCACTATGATGTTTCAAACATCGACCTCTTTCTTATAGTCTTGATATCAATATGATACTCCAATATGCAAAAGAGTGGAGGGAAGGAACTGGGAATGCACACCCCATTTATTTTGACAGAGCTATATTACCTATTTTTACGACTTAAAAAATTAGATATAAGCTATAGGAGCAACTCTACAACCTCTACGATCAAAGATCAAAGGTTTTTATTCTAGAAGATGATGTTAGATGCATGAACGAAGTTGAATAATGTGTTATCCTATCTAATATCAAGAAGAACTTTATCTATGGAATGCTAATATACTTGCATGGTTTCAAGATGGTCTTTGAGTCCCTAATTATTGCATGTTAGACTACAAGATGTTAATTACAATATCTTATATAGATTAATTAACTTAGTTCACACATCCACAATGTAAATTAATTCCAAAGAATTGAAAGGAACGCCAAACCTCTTAATTTGGCTTCGTTAGAGATGGTTTCTTACTGCTTCTTAAAGTAGTTTTCTAGCTTAAAAATTTTAATTTTTTGTGCTAGAAGAAGCAGTAAAAAGTTGTCCCGAATGAAGGCTTAAACGATAGGGATATAGAAGAATAATTAGATAATTCATTAAAAAAAGCTATAATGATACCGTTTAATTTACTAAGAGGAATGCTTTAGCAGCTTCTTGCTGAAAAATTTGAGGGAATATTTGATAGAGAGCCTCTTCAAATTATATATATATATATATATATATATATATATATATATATAAATCAGAGGTATTTTGATCTAAAAAGTTTTGTAAATATATTTTCTTAAAAAAAAATAAAGAATGAATATATTTCTCCAATTTTTATTATTATAAGACCGAACAGTCAAATTCCCTTTCTTTTTACTAAACCAAATTTCTTACTATTATCGAAAAAAAAAAAAACACTCTTAGCGATGTATGTCAATTTATTGAGTTTGAAATAATGAACTTTGAATATTTATTTATTAAATTAAAAAAATTACATATCTCTGCCACTTATTATGCCAACTTGGAATTAATTCTTATCTATTTCAATTTATTTAGGAAATTATTATATGCCACTTATTATGCATGTCGACATTGCAATTGCTAGATTGTTAACGTTTTGTACTGTCAAATTCTTCATAAAATTTTGATTGGCTATTTAATAAAATTTAAATTTATTTATTTATTTATGTATTTATGTATTTTTTTAAAAATAGGTTAAATTTAAAAATAATCATTTGATTTTTCATATATTATCATTTTAGTCTCAAAATATAATATTATATCCTAATATAGGCTTCATTTGGAATAACTTTCTTATTGCTTTTTCAAACAATTTTCTATAATAAAATTTTCTAGTTCAAAAAAATGTTGTACTAAAAAAAATGCTTTAGAAAATATTAAGAAATACGTTCCAAATGAAGCCTTAATAACTCGAATATATAAAATTGATTAAAAAAAAGTCCATTTGAGACTAAATTGGTATCAATTTTATAAATTCGAAGAGCTAAATTAGGATCAAAGTTACATCACATTTACAATATGAGGGCTTATTTTGAATCAATTTTGAATAGTCAAATGTCTAAGGCTTAGTTTGGGACGGCTTTCTTTATGCATCTTAAAGCAGCTTTTTAGTACAAATATTGGCACAACGTATTATTCTGTGACTAAATTGGTCATACAAAAATATTCTTAGGACTATTTTAAAAATTTTCCCTAAAAAATACAAACCAATAGTTGTTTGCATACTACTAGCTAGTAGTTATGAGTATTATATTATCAATAATCTGATTGGATAAAATTAAAAAAAAAATCATTTTAGCTTTGATACATCATCAAAAAATTATATTGATCAGGCACGAATCTTGGAGCAAGATCAAGTTGGAAGCTTCAAGAATTAAAATTGAGAACATCCAAACTCTAATTTAAAGGATAATATATTGATTAAAAATCATAAAATTACAACAGCAAGAAGACCTACATTTGCACAGAAAAAATACAGCAAAAAAGAATAAAATAAGTTAAACACGAGCTCAGTATTTGGTTT